CCCCCCCCCAGTCAACTGTCATTGCCTCTGTTAAATGATGGGACTGTTGCTGTAACTTGAACAATGCAACGTTTGTCGAACATGACGAAGACAAGTGCGAACCATGTCCACCTCCTTCTTTTTCAATCGGGTGCTGCTTAGGTGTGGATGTTTCGTTTCTGCCTGTTCAGCAGATTATTTCCTCATTCATTTCGCTTTCTAGTACCATTCCTACAGACGACTGCTCCACCGGCCCTTTCTGTCCGACCTTGGCATTGAACTATCCCATAGTGAGGGTACACCTGTACTTCGGCACCAGTTCCTGACAGAATTTTTCCATTTCCTCCTCATCGGATCCCTCTGTGGCAGCATAGGTTTGAACGAACTTAATGCTTCTGGAAGACTAAATCTGATTCCCTTATCGTCCTGCTCTTTTCCTAGCCAAAGGGAATTAGCGTTTTCCAGATATCATTCATCTTCTTTTGCCGTCGTGTTCTCGCAGAAGCCAAGGATATTGCAGACCATTTCTGACCATTCACCCGTTAGGTAATTTTATGTATGTTCCCTTGCCAGTGTTCTACTATTGTAGGTGTAAACGGCAGGAGAAGTCCAGATCCATTTCCCAAATAGTGGCCTTTCCCCTGCGGTTCTTAACACCCTCTCGTCAATCCAACACTGAATTACCGCTATAAAACGGGCAGAGAGACGCGCAGGACACTGAGGCCCAATTTTTGGTGTTATTATGGCTTTTGAAGGTTTGCCACCAGGGCTGATGGTGGCCTGGGGGTTTCAAACTAATGGATTCCCCAATTTGTCCAGTTCCTTTATTGAATTTTTTCTGGCCTTTTACTAATGGACGTTTATTTGCAACGTAGCCGGTAACATTAACTGCTTTTATTGTTCAAAGGGGAAGGTCGCCTTCGCCTCGTCGTGAGACTGTCACTGGGCCTTGTGGCCTTTTCTCTGAAGATCAGACTGGCTGAGCTCACCCCATTCACTCCTTGATGGTCTCGCTACTGCCTGTGCGCCATCGCTAATATTCATATCTAGAGGTTGTTCACTATCCTCAACTCTCAGAAGTACCAATACGACTAACAGCTAGGCACGCTGACGATATACAGATGTGATGTAAAGTTCAGAATCATAGGCATAAATGAAAATGCTCAGTAGAGCTAGTGTTTGGTTGAGTCAGAAGAAACACGTGCGTGAATGAATGAAGCTAGGAAAAAGAGAATCAATGAAAAGGCAAGTGAGTGAATTAATGAATGAGTGTGTGCATAGGTGAACGAGAAAATATGCAGTCAGCGAATAGGAGAAATTGCAAAATGAAAGAGATGTGATTGGGAAGAGAGATTTGAAGGAGAGATGGCAGAATAAAATGAATATTCAAAGGATGGCACATCTTGTACGCATTTTTGGTGCTGGTCATATTTTTAATACTTTTTCACACTGGTCGTCTAGCATAGGCAAGAAGTGCTAGACTACCATATGTTATTAATTTTTCAGTGAATGCCTTATCTCATTTCAAATTTGTTTATCCAACGTTTGGAGAGGCTTCCCAATGATAATGGGAACTGCAGTTTAAAAATGTGTTTTATTATTAAAATTTGACAGTTTTGGTATTTAATTTTAGGCTCATGAATGAACATGCGCATATCATATTGAGGACACGCAAACAATGGCTAATTGCAGTGAAATTCATCAACTGAAGTACAGGATTGATCCATTTAAAACCTGCTCTAATGTGTCAAGGCGTGAGGTGACAAAGAACTTTTCTTGAGCACAGGATTTGGCAAAATTTTACTTTCTATTGCCTTTTTAACCTGATCATCACGAATGACATTTTCTAGACATTGCGTCAGCTTACTTTCAGTATCACAAAGTATCGACTAGTGCATATGCTCTTTGCATGTTTCTCAAACCGTACATCAACATAACTTGAGCGCTTCATAAAAAAATATTTGCTATTCCTGCCTCAATTCATGTACACAGAAGATGAGTGGCTGCGTTTTTCCTTCCTTTTCCTTTGGCCAATTTCAGCGGTATCAGCTGAGTAGCGGATATGGTGTAGAAGGAGCCAGGTAAATGTTTTTATTTCAACAGTGAATGCCGCTCTCCTGCTGGCAGGAGAATCAAAAGGTTGTGCAGGAGCCCGCTTTAACAGATTCTGACCGTGGTTTCCCTCCGTTTGTGTAAATGATACCAGTCCGTGACAAAAATTTTACAGAGCGCTCCACTGCTCCTCATGCATTCAGTTCAGGCTAGGTAGCAGGTGATGAAACGTCGGTTGTTGTTCGAGATGGTTGGCACACCGAATTAACTGCCAA